CATTCACACCTGGGAGAGCTCTGTGTCCGTCACCTCCCAACCCTGCCCTCCTGGGCCCAGTCCTGAGCAGCAGGTGCAATTTATGTGGGAATGGTGCATGGGAACAGAGTGGATGTCCTTCTGAGGAAGCTTTACTGTCAACTTGACACAGCCTAGAATCATCTGAGGAGGGAGTCTCCGATGAGAGATATGATCATATTGAACATATCCGTGGGAGATAATCTTGATTGTTAATTGATGTAGAAGGGCACTATTCTCTGGACAGGTGGTTCTGGTTATTTAAGAGAGCTAGCTACCCACTCAACAAGAGGGAAACCATGCCTGGGGCTGGAAACCTAGCCAAATACCCATGGCTAGTGAAGTCTAAACCAGCCTAATCCTTAAATACACTCCAAATGTTTATCCTTATATCCACAGATAATTATAGTTCTCATCCCTCATCAAGAAAACTTTTTTGCAACAGAAAGAGACAATAACAGAAAACTGATCAAAATGCAGAGTTGTGGAGCCCAGTCCCTACTGATGCATCTCCAACACACTCCTCCATCTAAGGCTCAGGGATGATTGCGGAAGAGTGGGTGGAAAGACTGTAAGACAGAGGAACAGGAGTTTGCTGTGAGATTGTCTCTGCCACACCCATGAAGTCTCACTAACACTGCTGCCTAAACACAAGCTGAACAAGGACAAAACCAATGGATGTTCTAAAGTGGCCTCGATCCTACACAAAGAACTACAGGCAACTAAGGAACTAAGAGTGGGAAAAATAGTCTTCCCCAGGGAAGAACACACCAATCGGTTATCCAATACCAAATGGTCAGCCCTGAAAGCTTATATACAAGTAGTATTATATGAAGTGAGCAGGTTGTATTTACATATTTAGGGATAGGTAGGTAGGTAGGTGAATGGATAGATAGATAGATAGATAGATAGATAGATGACAAACGTGTGTGTGTGTAACAACAATTACAGAAAAGGAGACCATGAATTTGAATGAGAGCCAGAAGGTACATGGGAGGTGTCAGAGAGAGAGGAAAGGGAAGAGGAAATGATGTAACTATAATACAACCTCAATAAATAAATAAATAAAGCTAGCTAAGCATGAGCAGGCTATGTTCCTCTGTGCTATCTGCTCAGGTTCCTGCTTGAGTTCCTGGTCTGACTTCCCTCAGTGTTGGACTGTGACCTGGACCTATAAGTCGAATGATCCCTTTCCCTAAGTTGCTCCTGGTAGGAGCATTTTCTCATGGCAATAGAAAGGAAACTGGACATGTAAGCATCCGTCTTCACCTGTCTGAAGCTCCCTGAAGAGCCAGTCTCAGTTTCTCCAAATTGCTAAACACAGGGCAGGGATCAGTCAGGCATCTAAGTGTGAACGACCCATCCTTGCTGCCCGGGGTAAAGAGGAACACCTGGGTAAGAGTTAAGGCAAGCTGGGAACCAAAGACTTCGAGGAATTAGGGCTTTGAAACAGTCCTGGGAGTCTAGAAGGTCCCAGGCATGACCGCAGGGGCGCATGCTGACAATGCCGCTGGTGGCTGACCTTTGAGCAAACAGGAGGTAAAGGTGCAACAGGAAGGGGAGAAGGGCAGAAACTGTCAGCTGGGAGCTGAGCCCCATGGGTAAACACACAACAGCTGCAAAGCTTAGGGGGAAACAATTTTGTGACCATGACAAAACTCCCAAGATAACAACATAAGGAGGAAGAAATTGTTGGGCTCACAGTCTTGTGGGGGAGATGTACAATGTCATCTTACTGAGACAGGAGGAAGGACACAGGGCCAGGGTCCCTTCACAGGCAAACCCTACTACTAAGTCCATCCCCTAAAGGATTCCCTCTCATCCTAGTAGTGCCACAAGTCGGGGACTAAGTCTTATCTTTTAAGTCTTTGGGGGTCCTTTAAAATCCAAACCACACCACGCATTGAAGGAACTCAGTCAAATCACTGCCCAAGCACTTCCTTGATAGAATACTTCTGATACGTAGTACATGTGACAAGGTTACTTCAGAAAATTGTAAACCAAAAGTATATGCTGGAGTATGAGACAACTGGTCCAGAAACAGAATGGAAGCAGGACCCACTATAAAACCTCAAGGCCTGCCCTCTCCTCCAGTGACACTTCCTCCAGCCAGGCTCTGCTTCTTAAAGCTTCTACAACCTTCGGAAATGGCACCACCCGCTGGGGACCAAGTATTCAAACCTGTGACCAGGTGGGGACATCTCACATCTGAACCACTACCATCTCCTCATTGTAACCTTTCCTGACATGCCTTGGTCATAGAGTCATGTCTCACATACTGCCATGGGATGTGTGGACAGACCCTCCAGCAAGGCAGAACTGAGGGTGCCAATAAGCACATGTAGTTGCACACTGCTTCCCAAGTCATCGTAGAAATACAAAACGAAGCTCCGTGAACGAGTTTGCACTCAAGCTCTTAGTAGAGCTTAGTAGAGTAGGGTATCGGTGTGTCCCTTGTAGCCAGGCTCAAACTGACCACCCCACTGTATATCTGGCTGTGTCCCCTTTACCTCCTTGCTTCATGCTTGGGGTCGCATGCATGGAATTTTCATTCCTCCACTGTCCCTCTCTTTTCTCTCCAATTGGTTCCTGGCTGCCGCTCCCACTTAGCAGGGGACAGTGTGGTTAAACAGCAGCTACAGATGTGGGACTCTAGAACATAGATGCCAGCACAGTCATGTGACATACTGCTCCTTGAACAGCACAGTGTGTTGAGACCCTCTAACTCCATCTGTGAGTTGTCCGATACAGTCTGGAGTTGCTCGGTTTACCCACGCGCCCTTCATTGGCAATACTTCAGTGCTTTCTCAGAGTCCCCTGTAACACGGAGGATGCTGGTGTCTGGCCCTTGTCTCCCAAGAGCATTCTCGGTGGGCAAAGAGTTCTAGTGTGGTCCCTGTTTTCTTTCTGATGAGAAAGGATGCTTCCATGGCCTCCTGGTCTCCACCTTCCCATCAAGGAGTCATCCGTCAGTCATGTCGCTTCTTCCCACCCTGCTGTCCTTGATTTTCAGCTCCAATGTGCACACACGTGGATTCCTATGTAGTGCTTTACTGAACTCTTTTAAACACACCTAAAATACACTCTGTTTGTCCTCATGGATCAACGTCTTCCATCAGTTTGAAGCTCCTGTTTGTTTTCAATACCTCACCTCGCCCCATCCCTTTGTCTCTCCTAGGATCCAAACCACTCCCTCCCCACCCTGTCCCTTTGCTTGTTGCTCCATTTCCTCGACTTCAGCCCTCCTCACCCCTGCATTCAGTCATCACACCCATCAGCTCCTTCCCTTCGCTAACCTTCTCTTGGACTTGGTCTGATATGCTGTTCATCTATTCCACCATACTGAAAGTTCAGGTTTTAGGTTCTTCACTCCCAGGATTTGGTTCTTATTTGTGGACTTCCAGTTACCACTGGGGAAAAAAAAAATCTCCATCTTTCTCCCAATTTTCTGAAAGATATGTCACGCTTCGTTTGATCTGAAGAGAAACAGGAGCATCACCACGGTTACCCTTTTGATTTTGAAGTGTTTCTTCACAGTTGCCCTCTTTGTTTTTGTAGTGCTGGGGACCAAACCCAGGGCTTTGTACATCCTAGCCAGTCAGCCACCAAGCTATGTCCCCGGCCCTCATCGGTTGCCTTAAGTTCATGTGTGACTGTTCTGATGTCTAACTTTCTTGTCTGTTCTTCTCTTGACTCTTGGTCAACTGGTCTTGTCTCCTAGAATGCCTGGTAACATTTGACCAAAGACAAGAATTCACTGTGTAAAAACTAAAATCTAAGACCCCTTGAGTCCCCGGTGCTGCTATCTGGATCAGAAGTGATGGCCGTGTGTAGCATGAGTTCTAATTGGTCTTAATAATAAAAACCCAGAGTCAGATATTAGGGGGTGAAAGTTGAAAGATTAGAGAAGCAGAGCAGCCAGCTGCTAGACTTCTCACCTCTACAAAATCCTCAGACTGAAAAGAGGTCGAGCTCCTGTCTCCTCCCAAACTTATATTCCTCTCTCTGCCCAGCCATATAACTTCCTGTTTGTCTGTACTCCAGAACTTTATGGTTAACTAGTGGCTAGCTCCATCTTCTGATCTTCAGGCAAGCTTTATTTATTAGATTACAAGCAAGGTATCACCACAACTGTGTCTCTGACAAACAGCTGGTCTGTAGGCATCTTACCATGTGCACTTGAGCTGAGGTGCAGGCAAGGCCATCTGGTTCCGGCTTTGCTTTTCCTGGGGGAGGCTCCTGCATTCACGGTCAGTGTTTACTTCTGAAAGCCCATTGCGTCCCAGACCCTCCGCTTCAGCAGGCCCTGGATTCTGGGCTTTGCCCTCTGGTTCTAAGACCACTAAAGGCTTTGGTCGACTTCCGGGTCCCTTCCCAGTGAGCTGTAGCTCTGTTAGTGCCTCAAGAGGAAAATCCACAGTAACACAGGCTCCATCAGGGGCTCTTCCCGAGATAGGAATTTGGTCCCTCAAGTCTCAGCTATCTCTGGGCCTCCTGGTGCCTGCAAACAGAAATTTACTTGTCAAACCAGCTTCTCCACTTTCCCCACCCCACCGGCTAGTAAGGGTCCACCCCACGCCACATGGACACTGTCATGAAGTGACAACTGTTCTCGCCCAGAGCTGGGCTATGGGAGGAGTACTGGGTTGAGCCCATCTATTTCTTGAGAAGGAATGCCAGATGACATCTCTGCAGCCATAGGATGGCTGGGACAAGTCCCACCAATGAAATCCCAACCTCACTGCTCACAGAGCCTCTCTTAACGCTCCCAGCATCATTCACTGGCAGGAAACAGACAGGCCTGACAACATCACACACAAACAAACACCCTGATGATGACCATGAGCCACACCAACAAGGAAGGGAGACCAAGTCTGACAACAGCACAGGGGTATAAAAGCTGACAACCCAGCACCTCACACACACACACTCACTAACACACTCACTCACTCACACCTCACCCTCCTCCATCCAACCCCACCATGGCCGCCTCCACCATGTCTGTCTGCTCTGACGCTTGCACCAACTCCTCCTGGCAGGTGGATGACTGCCCAGAGAGCTGCTGTGAGCCTAGCTGCTGTGCCCCCAGCTGCTGCCAGTCCAGCTGCTGTGTCCCCAGCTGTTGCCAGACCAGCTGCTGTGCCCCCAGCTGCTGTGCCCCAGCCCCCTGCCTGACCCTCATCTGCACCCCAGTGAGCTGTGGGTCCAGCCCCTGCTGCCAATCTGTCTGTGCTAGCTCCTGTGCACCCTCATGCTGTCAATCCTCCTGCTGTGTGCCTGTCTGCTGCAAGCCTGTCTGCTGCACACCCATCTGTTCTGGCTCCTCATGCTGCCAGCAGTCTAGCTGCCAGCCAGCTTGTTGCACCTGCTCCCCCTGCCAGCCATCCTGTGTGACCCTGTGCTGCAAGCCTGTCTGCTGTACCCCCTGCTGCCAGTCTTCCTGCGCACCCTCATGCTGCCAGCAGTCTAGCTGCCAGCCAGCTTGCGGCACCTGCTCCCCCTGCCAGCCATCCTGTTGCATGACCCTGTGCTGCAAGCCTGTCTGCTGCACACCCATCTGCTCTGGATCCTCCTCATGCTGCCAGCCCTCATGCTGTCAATCCTCCTGCTGTGTGCCTGTCTGCTGCAAGCCTCTCTGCTGCAAGCCCTGCTCCAGCGTGTCCCTGATCTGCCGCCCTGTGTGCAGACCTGCCTGCTGTGTGCCCAGCTCCTCCTGCTGTGCCTCCTCCTGCCAGCCCAGCTGCTGCAAGCCCTGCTCCAGCATGTCCCTGATCTGCCGCCCTGCCTGCTCCAGCCAGGCCTGCTGTGGCCTCTCCTCAGGCCAGAAGTCCAGCTGCTGATGGATCTGTCTATTCCCTGCTCATGTCCTCCCAATTTCTCTTAGCTGCTGATGTGGCATCTCTCCAGGACAGAGGTCCAACTTGTTCCCTACACTGACCTGACCTGACCTTTTGCCTCCCAGGAACTCCACCTGGGCCATTGTCCCTCTTTACTTCCCTCAGCTCTGGTCACTTGTCTTGGCATTAGCCCTTCAGAACATCAATAAACTCTTCTAACTGCCTGGATCTCCTCTCATGCTGTGACAAGTGTGGTTTAAGTCCATGTCAGTCTCTGCAGGCTATGATTGTCCGGGAGGGCGGGGGGGAGGTGGCCCTGCAATAGTGAGAGACGTTGGTCACCTGCCCTAGGTGTGGCCAGTGGAGCTCAGTGGCAGGTTTTGTACAAAGCGGAAAAAAGATCCTGCCATGACAGGCCCCCATATCTGGAAAGGGTGTGCAAGCATCCACAGAGGGCTCCCAGTATCCAGTGGGTGATGGTCTCAGACACACCCACAGAGAAGGCCAAGAGAAGCTGCTGCTGGGCAAGGGGTCCCCAGGAAATAGTAGAATCCATAGCCAGAGCATCAGCTGGGCATGAAGCCTGTCTTTAGCACCTGGAGTACTGCCCTGAGGGGAATTCCTCTGAAGGGAGCCAGAGAAGCAACCTGACCTAATTTACCTTCAGAATACCTAACTGGGTCCCAAGTGACCAGCCTGCCGGCACCCGGCCCATCCAGACAGAGCTTGAGTGAGCACAGAAACACAGCATCCAGCTAAAGAGTCATTCAGTTTAGTAAACTCCCAAGGCGGGAAAAGGTGGCCAATAGATCAATCAATGGGTGGGGATTCACTAGCCTCCCCTATCCCACACAGCCAAGACATTAGAGAGAGATGGAGCAACTGAGCAAAGACGGGAGCGTGTTTAAAGAAAGAGAACCAGAGGGCTGGAGAGATGGCTCAGAGGTTAAGAGCACTGGCTGCTCTTCCAGAGTCCTGAGTTCAATTCCCAGCAACCACATGGTGGCTCACAACCATCTGTACTGAGATCTGGCACCCTGCTCTGGCATGCGAGCATACATCAAGGCAGAATGTTGTATACATGATAAATAAATAAATCTTTTAAAAAAAAAGAAAGAAAGAGAAACAGAGAGGGACAGCTCAGAGGAGCGCTGTGTGGAAGAGGGGCACTGATGTGTTAGGGGTGGGATTCACAGTCGCAGGGGCTGGGATAAAGTCACAGGAGGAAAGGAGCAAGTTGGAGCAGCGGGCAGAAGTCCTGTCCCGCAGAGTCGAGCTCAGGGACCTGGCTTTGTCGCCAGCTCCGCTCTTGGTATCAGACATGCTAAGGTTTTGGATGGCACACACATCCCCATCACTGCAGGGTCTTTGCTGTCCTGAGTGTCCTCTGGTGTCCTGTGGAGTCTCCCTGTGGCACCTGCACTACAGGATGGTACGCAAGCCGGGAAAGGGGTTAGAGATTTAAACACATACACACAGAGACAGACGGGGACATGGGTCATCCTTGAAACAAGTATGTCTCCTTTATTGTGTTCAGGGGCAGCTTCTATAAGGGATCCTTAACTGATAGCCACGCCCCAGTCAAACCCACCAGAAACCACTCCCCTGCCATCAGGAACGCCGGAGGGTCTCGTGCTCAGAGCACCTGCAAACACAGGAAAACAAGTTGCTTTGCTCAGAGCAGCTGCAAGCATAGCAAGTTGTTTACAGGAAATTCAGGGTCTGGGGGTCACAGCCCCAAACATCTCCCTGCCCACCAACCCCCAGTAATTCCTTCACAGCCTCCCCCCTCACTTAGAACGGTGATCAGAAGGGCTCTGTGCCCCTCCAGGTCCTACTACATTCTCCCACATCCTCCATGCCCCTCCAAGCCCCTTCAGGTCCATGCCCCTCCACAGGCCTTTTCCTCTGGTGCTGAACATCAATCACTCCCTTCTCTGGAGGCAGATTCTCTCCCTTGGCAGGGTTTCCCCTTTCCTGCAGGGTCTCTTCCTCCCAGCGGGGGCTCCGTATGGCTCTGTGGAGCTTTTGGCACTGTAACTAAGGTGGCGGTGTGCACATCCATTCAGAGATCTCTGTGAAGATGTGACCATACCAGGGAGTGGGAGTGCTGGATGGTTGGAGGTGTATTTGATTTGGTAAGAGCCCACCGAGTTCTTCCGCACCTCTGAGTCAGCCTGCGTTCCCAGAAGCAGTGAAGGAAAGCTTCTGTCCCTCCTTCATCCCCAGTATCTCTTGTTGATATTTTGAGTGTGGGGCGTTCTTACAAGCATACAGATTCAGTCTCTCATTCATACTTTCATATTCTCTCGCGTGCGCACGCGCGCTCTCTCTCTCACTCTCTCTCTGGTTTTTCTACATAGCACAAATTGTCCTCAAACTCATGATCCTCCTCCTGAATAGCTGAGATCACAGACACACCCCACCCTGCCTGTGACTTCTGTTTTCCGAGTTTACACCGTGGGCATTGTTTGGCATCTGGGTGTCTTCTTCGGGAAGGGGTCTGTCCAGTTCTCTTGCCAGTTTTTGAGTTAGGTTGATTGATTGCTGATTTTAAGGGTCCTCTGCAATGTGCTTGGTGGCCTCTGTCTGATATGGGGAGCAACCACCCTCACCCCTCCCCCCATCCCTGTCGAGCCCTGGTGCCCCTGTCGTTAGTTGCTTTTCTGATGGTGAAAAATGCATGACCGAAACAACTGAAGGAAAGAAGCGCTTCATTTTAGCTCAGGGTTTGAGGACACAGTCCATCATGGCAGGGAATCAGAGTGACAGGGTATGAGGAGGCGACCTGAGTCCGCAGTCAGGAAATGGCAAGCAATGCTTGCACATGCTCGGGTCACTTCCTCTTTGATATTTAGTCCAAGATTCCAGCCCGGGGGATGGTGTCTCCCACATTCATGGTGGCTCTTTCCCCCTCCGTTAGTCCACCCTGGAAACACCCTCACTGGCATGCCCAGAAGGGTCCCCTAGATGATTCCAAATCCTGTCAGGTTGCCACAGCATCGGCCATCACAGTGCAGAGGCAACAGAAGGCCTGAGATGGGAGAAGCTCACAGCTGTGGATACCGTGCTGAGAAAGGCCTCAGGTCAGTGACCGAGCAGAGCCAAGCACAAGGAAGAAAAACAAAGACCCTGGTGGAGACAGACCAAGAAGCATCAACACCAACCCGCAGGACCTGTTCTGAAAGCTGGAAAGAGGTGGCGCACCTCAAGCCACTCTGAGGCCATCCCCAGAGACACAAGAGCCTTAGGCGAGGGGTCTCACCAGCTCTCCTGCCCATTTTAAAGTCCACTTCTTTGTTTTTTAAAGGCCCTTTGCATATTACACACGGACATCTCTGTCAGACAGGCCCTCAGCAAACCCCAGCCATGGAATCTAGCATCACAGAAACAGAGCCAGGTGCCGTGGGTGCGGTAGTTCTTCAGTGTGCCCAGAGCCCAGGTGCTGAAGGTTGGTCCTCAGCCTGTGGTTGTCAGGAAATGATGATGTCTGTAGGAGGTGGGGCCTAATGGAAGGAAGTGAGGTCGTTAGACATGCCGGTTAATCTTTTGTTGGCTTGACGCAGCTAGGGTTATCAGAGAAGAGGAAATTCAGTTGAGACAAAGCTTCTACCAGACTGCCTATAGACAAGTCTGCGGGATGGTTTCTTGATTAATGATTGATGTAAGAGGGCCCAGCCCAGTATACATGGTGCTCCCGGTGGGCAGGCACCACCCCCGCACAGGTGATCCTAGGGTATTTAAGAAAGCAGGCTGAGCAGATGAGTGGTGGTCTCCTGTGGGCTTGGCTTCAGTTCCTGCCCTGACTTCCTTTGATGATGGCCGGGATGTGGTGTAGTAAAATGAACTATAAACCCTTTCCTCCCCAAGTTGCTTTTGGTCTTGCAGCAGAAAGCACACTAGGACATCGGAGCATGCCTTTGGAGGGGACCTTGGGACCTTATGCCATCTTCTTCCCCTCCTAGCCACCACAAGTAAGCAGATTCCTGTTGCATTTCCCACCCTGCATACTGCCTGATGCAGGCCTGCAGGCATCGAGACAAGCAGTCATGTGATGTGTAAGGACTTGAATGAGATATCTCCCGTAGGCTCCGGGATTTGAACATGTGGTTCCCAGTTGGTGGCACTGTTTGGGGAGAAGCAGGAAGTGTGGCTTTGTGGGAGGAGGCATGTCAGTGGAGACAGGTTTCATGGTCACTTTCTCTCAGCTTCATGCTGGTGGTTTAAGATGTGAGCTCCCAGCTTGCAACCCCAGCTACCACAGCAGCCTCTCTACCAATCACTTCTCCACCATGGTGGCCTCTCAGCCCCGTCGAAGCATAGGCCTACAGAAACTCTTTCTTCTTTAAATTGCCTTGGCTGTTTTATGACAGCAACAGAAACATCACTAAGATACAGTGACACTCCCAAAACTAGGAGCCAAGTAACCTTTCCTCTTTATAAGCGATTTGCCTCTGGCATTCTGTCACAGCAATAGAAGCTGCTTAATACTGTGGCTAAGTGGGTTTTATCTCTGGAATACAACATTGGTTTAATATTTGAAAAATCAATTAATATAATACATTGTATTGATATAATAATGTTGACAGAGGTTTCTATCCCACCCAGTACCACAGCAGTTCAGACCCAATTAAACACTCAGAGGTCTCCATTAGTTATAAACTGGTTGGCCTAGTAGCTCAGGCTTCTTATTAACTAATTCTTACATCCTACAACCTCACCAATTATTCTTGTCTGTGTTAGTCACGTGACTTGGTACCTTTCTCATTTGCTTCCTCTCTGTCTGGGTGACCACTGCAGACTGACTCTTTCCTCTTCCCAGAATTCACCTGTTCTCGTGGCCCAGCCTCTACTTCCTGCTTGGCTGCTCCACCTATACTTCCTGCCTGGCTACTGGCCAATCAGCATTTTATTAAACAAGTACAAGAAACAAATCTTTACAGGTAAAACCATTGTCCCACACATAATAAAGGCAAATATCACACCATCCTATCAATAGATGCAGAAAAGTAGCTGGGATAGCCCAATGTCCTTTCACAATAAAAGCCCCACATGCCCAGGTGAGGAGACTTCCTTACTCTGATGTCTGTTAGGAACCCACAGCTGACGTCACCATGTGCCATACCTTCTCCCTAACCTCTAGCAAGGCACAGGCCCATTAATGCCATCACCACTGGGAGATGGATGTTCTCACATCCAAGCTAAGCCCTTGAGTGGCCAAACAGATGCTTTGGAAACTGTGAAACTCAGGTGAAAACCTTCTCAGTACATCAGGAAGACGTGCCCCGCTCATCAGGAGACTTTCCCGGTTCCTAGCAGAATCTGAGTGAGCATCGTTGCAGAAATCTGCAAGTTGGTTTTAAAACTAATATGTAATTGCAAGAACCCATCATCAGCACAAGGGAAAAAAGAGAACAAATATGGACAACTCCCACTTTCTAGTAAAATTTTCCCACAGAGCAACAACGAGCCTCTCCATTGGTCCTGACCTAGAAATAACAAAGAGCTGGTCACTTGTCCCTGCCCAGTCCGCTGCTCCAGCTATGTGCTCAGTAAACCTCTGAGAGGGGGAGGGGAGGGGAATGGGAGAGGAGGGGGAGGGAGGGGGAGAACGAGTGAGTATATCTGACCTTTAGGACACACTACAGGCAGAGTGTCTGCGCACCCCAATGGGAAGCAGAATGTATAAGAGACTGGTTGATGAGTTGGGCCTCCAGGTACTAAACTCTCATCTTTAAACCATCAAACATGAGCTGGGCATGGTAAGGCACACCTGAAATCCCACCAGGAGTTCCAAGTCATCCTCAACTAAACAGTAAATTCCGGGCTAGCCTAGGCTATATGTGGCCTTGCCTCAAAAGAAAGAAGTTTAAAAAGAGGCTTAAATGTGAAAACACATTTTACCAAGATGTCTGGGCAGGAGAGAAGCAGGTGAGAGTCTTGGCAGGAAATGCCAAGCACAGTAGAGGAGCCCCACAGCCTGTTAGAGCCACTGAGGTTAAGAAGCCCAGTGTGGGGAGCACATTTGCCCACACTGTGTGTAGGATGCTCTGCAGACACAAGGCAGCGGGGCAGATGGGTCCCCTAAACACACTGAGCACAACGCCAGCCACCAGAGAGCACATCCCAGCACAAACACTGTTGAAATAAGGAGCGGCGGGCTGCGTCCCCGGCACCCGGCTGCCCCCACGGCTAGCTTTACCTGAAATAATTACACGGAAACTGTATTCTTTTAAACACCGCTTGGCCCATTTCTATCTAGCCTCTTCTAGGCTAGCTCTCGCACCTGGACTAGCCCATTTCTAATAGTCTGCTGTAGCCCACGAGCTGGCTTACCAGGAATGATCTTAACCTGCTTCTGTCTGGAGTGTGAGAATCATGGCGACTCACTGACTCAGCTTCTTTCTCCCAGCCTTCTGTTTTGTTTACTCCACCCACCTAAGGGTGGGCCTATCAAATGGGCCTAGCAGTTTCTTTATTGCTTAACCAATGAAATCAACAGATTGATATATGACACTCCCACATCAAAACACAGAGAACCAAGAGTGCAGCCTGGTCACACGGCTGTGCAGTGCAAATGGCCTGCCTCTCAGGGATGGGGCAGCCTGGGGATAAACATTTACCCACGCGTGACCCAAGAAGTGTACACAGAGATTTACTCCAGAGGAAAGAAAACTCACCGTCATAGAAAACACCAAACACAAACAACAGTGACTACCACCTTATTCCTACGTGTAGTAAACAGGAGACAGTCAAAACATCTCCCAGCTACACTGTGGGAAATCGATACAATGTAACTATAGAGCTGTAGAAAGACATAAACTTGGTGGGAATAGTTGGTTGAATTTTGAGGTCAGAAAATTTTAAACCACAAAGACTGGCTTAAACGGAGGGGAGGGAAGAGGAGTGGGTCTTTTGGCTGACAGCTCTATGGGTCCAGGGAGGCAGGCTAGCTGCCCCGGCAGAGTTAGAAGCTTCAACTGGTTCCAAGTGTCCTTTTGCTGTCCCTGGCTTTAGCTCTTCTTTCTGTAGGCAGGAGCTCTCCAAGCCTCTTACTAAAGCTCAGCCCACTCCTGTCCTCTGGTGTCATGCACCCAGGAAGACTTCATCTTGGTGTGTCCATCCTGCTAGGCTCAGGTTGGGTACTGGGCTGTGTGAAAGCCCCGAGGTGTCCCCATGCATTCGAGGCACAGGTTCCCAGTCTACGTGGACACACAGCACATGGTGACATTTCACTTGCAGGGGGTCCCAGTCCTGCATCACAGCTCCCTTTCTCTGTTGCTATTCTGAAAATCCTGTATTCTAGAAGAATCCATCTCTCTCTAGTTTTCCCTCACCGTCTCATTCTCTACAGACCGGTGCCATATTGAGACACTCAAAATAGTCTCCCCTAGGGTTCAGGGACACTTTCCTGCCAGGTGTGTGTCGCCAGTAGGTTTTATGACCCTACCCACCTACCTGGGCTGGAACTCCAAATTTCTCACTGCCTAATGAGGAAGCCTGGATGATGAGGCATGTGGTGTGTGCACAAAGCCAGACCCAGCTTGGACAAGGCTCCACTCGGAGGACCAAGCACACAGCACCCTCAGGCCCTAGCCAGGACCACGTGGGGCTCAGGAGGAGTGACTCGCCTGTAAATAAACAGATTAACAAGGGTTTTTAGGACGCAGCTTAAAATACCCATGAGGAAGGAAGGTTCTAGAGGCTTCTGGCTGACGACATACCCTGCTATAAAAGCTGACGGCACAGCACATAACATACACACTCTCACGCACACTCTTAAGCTCACACCTCCCAACTCCAGTCAGCCCCACCATGGCCGCCTCCACCATGTCTGTCTGCTCTGACGCTTGCACCAACTCTTCCTGGCAGGTGGATGACTGCCCAGAGAGCTGCTGTGAGCCTAGCTGCTGTGCCCCCAGCTGCTGCCAGACCAGCTGCTGCCAACCTAGCTGCTGCCAGTCCAGCTGCTGTGCTCCCAGCTGCTGTGCCCCATCCCCCTGCCTGACCCTCATCTGCACCCCAGTGAGCTGTGGGTCCAGCCCCTGCTGCCAATCTGCCTGCAGCAGCTGCTGCACACCCTCATGCTGCCAGCAGTCTAGCTGCCAGCCCTCATGCTGCACCTGCTCCCCTTGCCAACAGTCCTGCTGTGTGCCTGTCTGCTGCAAGCCTGTCTGCTGCACACCCATCTGTTCTGGCTCCTCATGCTGCCAGCAGTCTAGCTGCCAGCCAGCTTGCTGCACCTGCTCTCCTTGCCAGCCATCCTGTTGCATGACCCTGTGCTGCAAGCCTGTCTGCTGCACACCCATCTGCTCTGGATCCTCCTCATGCTGTCAGGCATCCTGCTGTGTGCCTGTCTGCTGCAAGCCTGTCTGCTGCAAGCCCTGCTCCAGTGTGTCCCTGCTCTGCCGCCCTGTGTGCAGACCTGCCTGCTGTGTGCCCAGCTCCTCCTGCTGTGCCTTGTCCTGCCAGCCCAGCTGCTGCAAGCCCTGCTCCAGCATGTCCCTGATTTGCCGCCCTGCCTGCTCCCGCCAGGCCTGCTGTGGCCAGAAGTCCAGCTGCTGATGGGACTGTTCCTGGTTCCAGCTGGCTCAGGTCCCTCCCTGTGGCCCCTCCCAGCTTTCTCAGCCTGATCCTTACCTGGGATAGCCAATCCCCCAGGATGAAGCCCCCAACCTGTCCTTTGTAAGTTGACCTTCCCAGGAGACCTGCTGATCCTCCTGTGTCACTGCCCTCCCTCCCAGTCCCTCTGCTCTGGTTACCTGCCTCTGACATCAGCTTGTCTGCAGCCCATGGCTTCAATAAACTCTTCTACCCACCTGGATCTGCTCTTATTCTCTGGAACATGCGGTTCGAGTAAATATCCACCTTCGTAGCCAGGAATGTTTTTAGGAGGGACAGTAGCCACCTCCCCTGGAGGTCACCAGTTGTTTGAATGAAGAATGTCCCAAATAAGCACATTTATTTGAAGACGTGGTCTCTGGTGCATGGTTCTGTTTGGCGAGTTGCGAAACGTCTAGAGACTTCCTTGAGGATGCAAGTCATGGGGGCAGGTTTTGTGGGCTGATAGCCCACTGTGAGTCCACGCTCTCTGTTTTCTGCTCTTGGTTAGAGATGAGCTCTCTGGCATCCTGTTCCACTCACCTGCTGCCGTTTATCTCCCACCTTTATGGACTCTCCCTCTGGAACCCTAAGCTAAAATGAACTCTTTCCTTCCTAAGTCATGGTGCTTAGTCATAGCTACAAAATAATGAATACAAAATGGGCAGGCTGACACTTGACAGCTCAAGCCGGCATGAGCCTGGTGCGTGCGTTGGGGGCATTAGGGTGCTCCGTCCCTATACCTCCCCATTGTCACCGTCCCTAGCTCCCTCTTGGCCTTCTGTGACTCCTGATCCCCTGGACATCGTTGGGAGGGTTTTGTTCTCTGTCACCTGTCAGCTCCCAAGCTCCACATCATTTCCTGGAAGTCTCCAGGAAACAGACTTCCCACTGTGAGAGCCACAGAAACAGAGCCCCTGTTCCCAAAGGAACCCGAGCAAGTGTCCCATACTGTGACCAAGGCATACTGCGCGTTGAGCCAACTCTGAAGGTCACACAGGCTTTCACCCTCTTTAGGACAGGTGCGTGGAACTGGCACGCAGGTTCACATGGGCAGAGCCTTGCTAAGGAAGATAGTAAGTGTGCACACATTGGCATGCACACACTCAGCTGTTGGCAGAGCTAACTTACCGGTTAGCTGGTCAGACTGCCTGTGTTTGGCTAAGGACGGTTTGGTGAGAGATGTGTGGACAAATAGCCCATAGCACTCTGCTTCGCTGACTGTAAAAAAACACACATATCACAGAACTCTCTGTGATCTTTGTGAGCGCATCCCGGCTGTGCTGAGTTCATTCACATACTACCTAGCAAATCTCAGCTATCCTGTGAACTCCTGGCTTCTTGATCTACACCCCTCCCCACCCCTACCCCAAATCCCTGGCACCCTTGTTGTTGTGTCCACATGAATCTGAGCCTTTGGGGAGCTAAGCAGATTGGTGCAGCACCTGTCCTTCTGGCCTGGTTTGTTTTCCTCAGTGTGAGGTCCTCCCAGCTCCTTCATGATGGAGCAGACCAGGACCTATTTCTCTCGACAGGCTGAAAACATTCTGTTGTGCACATGGGCTAGGCTGTTTGTCCTGAGCTGGCTGGGGGGCTGGGGTGGGGAGCCACACTGAATTCCCACCCAGAAAGTGCTGCTGGGTAGGGTGCCATCAGCTCCTCCCACTCCCTGACTAGCCCCACCTCCTCCTCTCAGTCCCACCCTCTTGCTATCCCCACCCTCTCTCCCCACCCCCTCCCAGGCCCTGCTCTCCTCTCCCCCTCCATTCCCAACTGTTTCACCCCGTTGGCCTTGTGCATCCTTCTTGGTCCTTCCCTCCTCCCTTTCCTTCAGCTCTGCCCCACCTCTGGCCCTGGTCTCCACAGAAGAATGAATACCTGCTCTCCCTGCTGGCGGAGGAGAGGGACACACTGCTGCTCGGCCTGAGGTACTCACCCACACAGCTGCACTTCCTATTTCTCACCGAGGACTTGGCTGGTGCCTGGCAGACCCGTGTGTCCTTCCGGAGCCCCGGCCTCGTGGACAGCCAGTGGCACACGCTGATCTTGGCTGTGTCCCAAGGATCCTTTTCCCTCACCATGGACTGTGGCTTCCCAATGGACATGTAGGTACCAGGATGTTCATGCCAGAGATTAACCATGCTGTGTGTCATCTGAGCAACCCATTGCAGTGACTGTTCTGCCACTGAGCCATGGGGGGGGGGGGTCCTAGGCAAGTTCACCCCTGCCCCTGCCCTGCCAGATCCTTTACTTGGGGCAGGCTATGGAGGATGCCTTAGGTGCGTTATGAAATACCTTAAGGCCTTATGGAAGACAGGCTTCCATTATGAGGCCAGGGGTCATAGAGCAGCTACACAGCTCTGTGAAATGGAGGTGCCCAATCAGGGGCTAGAAATCACCTACTTGGAGCAACTGTGGCCAAGGAAGATCTGAGGGCCTTGGGTTGAGAATGCAGGCCTGCTCCAAGGCTGCAGACTGGGCTCAGGAGCCAGGATGCCTAGCCACAGAGTGGAGGTGGGCTGTGGGTGGAGGATTGGCTACCTGGTACCCCTGGCCTGGAGCTTGGTGCACTGTAGCAGATGGTTAAGGCTGGAGGAAGCAGGAGCTATGTCACCTCATGCAGTGGTTCCAGCCACATGTCCCTCCCTTGGCCTGCTATCTCTCATGTCTTCCTCAGTGAGTTCAACCTTCGTAGCAATCACAACCAGCACATTTCAGAGGCTCCCGGGTTTCTAGCAAGATGCCTCCCTCCTACCTGTAGCCATCATCTCCCAGGCTGTATAAAAGCACACAATGGTTATATGGGTCAAGGTCCTGATACAGAGGAAGGTCCCGGAGGTTCACCGAGGTAGCAAAAAGGTCTCATATGTATCCTCGCTATGCATTCCTTTAAGGGCCTCAGTCCTGGGTGCTCCAACTCATCTCCCCTGGGGACTATGAATGTGCCTTTAATTGCCAACTGGGTCTTAAACCAAGTCAAGATTATGTCAGCTGAGTGAGACAGTTTCTGATGAGGTGGCAGAGACCACAGAGGCAAGGGAAAGGCTGCAAGCATGTTCAGATGCAATGGGAAGGGAGATGGAGGTAGAGAGATGCAGCCACAGCTGGGAAACCTGGGGCCACTAGAGCCAGAAGGGCAAGGTGTCCTCCTTTGTCTCAGAGAGGGCAATGCTCTGCAGGCCTAGGACCTCTAATTGCTATGAAGCCTGTCATTAGAGCTGCCCTAGGATGCTCGCCTGTTTCTCATGTGAGACCCAACCCCTGTCTTTATAAGCAAATGGGGTGTATGCCCTTCCTTTTCTATGGTACTAGTACTGTCCGCTCATGTTTCAGAATGGCTGACGTTCCCTTCCCACCCACCCTATCAGTAAGAGGAGCCCGGTTCTTCATTGGCAGCCGGAAGAGAACCAAAGGCCTATTCACAGTGAGTGTGGAGGACCTGCCAGCAGCAGCCCTCCCCAAGGGCTCTGGGGACAGCCTGTCACATGCTTCAGATGGTAGATTGCCATCAATGCTAAATGAGAACCAGGAACACAAAGGGGTTGCGGAGTCTACCCCAGGACCCTCACACTGGCTCTTCCTATTTTCTCACACACTCTTCCCTGAGACTCTTGGATCCCTGCTCACAAGTCCTCCTACCATGGAAGCCTGACCCCAAAATGCTCATAAACTGATGCTTGAACCCAGTCTTTCTGGCCTTGATGTATGTCAGCACCCCCATCCATCCATCCATCCATCCATCCATCCATCCACACATCCACCACCCATTCATCCTCTCATCTACCCACCCATCCACTGATCCACCCACACATCCATCCACTCACTCATCCTCTCTTCTGTTCACCTACCCATCTACCCCCACACCCATCCACCTATCTGTCCGTTCACCCACACATCCATCACCTGTGCTGGACTCTCTGCTGGGATGGTATCTAGAGTCTACTCCACAACTAGGAGCTACAGTTCTCTGTGGCGTCCTCGGCATCTGCACCCATGCCTGGTACATAGTGATCATTCTGTGGAAATGTGCTTGTGTTATGATTGAATGGAAGAAAACATAGGTGGATAGTTGTATGCATGGATTGGAAAGTGGTGGTGGATAGATGGATGCATGTATGCATGCATGCCTGCATGGGTAAATAGTGATAGGTGGATAGATGCATGCATGGGTTGATGCCTGGGTGGCTATATATATATATATATATATATATATATATATATATTTGAATGAGTGGGTAGATGGTGAGTGGATAAGTGGATAGATAGAGGGTTGAATATGTAGGTGAATTTATTGGTTATTAATGAATAGACATGGGTGACTGGGCAGAAGGATGACTGCTAAATGGGTGGGCAGGTAGGTGGATGGATGGATGAATAAATGGATGGGTGGATGGTGGAGGAATGGATGGATGGATGATGGGTAAATGGGTGGAGGGATGGTTGGGTGGATGGATGATGGATGGATGGATGGATGGTTGGGTGGATAGATGACGGATGGATGGATGGATGGATGATGGGTGGATGGATGATGGATGGATGGAAGATGGATGGATGGATGGATGAATAGATGGATGGATGGATGGATGGGTGGATAGATGACGGATGGATGGATGGATGGATGAATAGATGGATGGATGGATGGATGGATGGGTGATGGGTGGATAGATGGAGGAATGGATGGATGGGTGATGGGTGGATGGATGGATGATGGGTGGATGGATGATGGATGGATGGATGGATGAATAGATGGATGGATGGATGGATGGGTGATGGGTGGATGGATGGAGGAATAGATGGATGGAGCGATGGGATGGGTGGATGGATGACGGATGGATGGATGGATGGATGGATGGATGGATGGGTGATGGGTGGATGGATGGATGAATAAATGGGTGGAGTGATGGGTGGGTGGGTGGAGGGATAGAGGGATAGATAGATGAATGAATGAATCGATGGTGGGTAGA